GATCCCCTTGATAATCAAGAACCTATCTATCTCGGTCTTAAATGTACTCAATGACCTGGCCTCCACAGCCTTCTGTGGCAGGGAATTCCATATATTCACTACTCTCTGGCTGAAGAAGTTTCTCCTTATCTCCGTTCTAAAAGGTCTACCCTTTACTCTAAGGCTGTGCCCTCGTGTCCTAATCTCTCCTACCAATGGAAACATCTTCCCAACATCAACTCTGTCCAGGCCATTCAGTATTCTGTAAGTTTCAATTAGATCCCCCCTCATCCTTCTAAACTCCAATGAGTATAGTCCCAGACTCCTCAAACGTTCCTCATATGTTAAGCTTTCCATTCCTGGGACCATTCTCGTGAACCTCCTCTGAACACACTCCAGGGCCAGTACATCCTTCCTGAGATATGGGGCCCAAAACTGCGCACAATACTCCAAATGTGGCCTGATCAGAGCCTTATAAAGCCTCAGGAGTACATCCCTGCTTTTATATTCAAGTCCTCTCAAAATAAATGCCAAAGTTGCATTTGCCTTCCTGACTACTGACTCAACCTGCAAGTTTACCTTGAGAGAACCCTGGACTAGAACTCCCAAGTCTCTTTACACTCAGACTTCGGAGTTTTCCCCCCATTTAGAAAACAGTCCATGCTTTTATTCTTCTTACCAAAGTGCATGACCTCACACTTTCTCACGTTGTGAAATCTTGCATTGTATCCAGAACTGCAAAAAGACTTCCTTCTTACGAAAAATTCAACTCTAAGACCTAGGGTCACAGGTACATAATTCTTTGAAGTTTGTGTACATATAGACAGGGAGGTTAAGAAGGCATTTGGCACGCTTGCCTTCATTGCTCAGACCTTTGAGTATCGGAGTTGGGGACATCATGTTGAGGTTGTACAGTATGTTGGTGAGGCCTCTTCTGGAGCACTGTGTTACAGTACTGGTCTCTCTGTATTAGGAAGGATGTTATTAAACTGGAGAGGGATCAGAAGAGATTTACCAGAATCTTGCTGGGAATGGAGGGTTTGAGTTATAAGGAGAGGCTGGGACTTTCTTCACTGGAGTGCATGAAGTTGAGGAGCGTCTTTGTAGAGGTTTATCAAATAATGAGGGGAGTATAGATAAAGTGAAGGCAGGTGAGAGGCGACCTTAGAGAAGTTTATGAGGGATATAGATAGAGTTATTGGTAGTTATCTCTTCCCTCAGATGGGGAATTGCAAGACTGGAGGGCGCATTTTTTTTAAGGTGAGAGGAGAAAAATTTAAAAAAGACACGAGGGGCAATTTTTTTTTAAACACAGAGAGTGTGGAATGAACTTCCAGAGGAAGTGGGCTGGATGTGGGTACAATTACAAGATTTAAAAGACATTTGGATAAATACGTGAATAAGGGAGAGGCGATGGCCTAGTGGTATTATTGCTGGACTGTTAATCTAGAGACCCAGATAATGTTCTGGGGACCCAGGTTCGAATCCTGCCACGGCAGATAGTGGAATTTGGATTTGATAAATATCTGGAATTAAGAATCCATTGCCGATTGTCAGGAAAAACCCATCTGGTTCACTAATGTCCTTTAGGGAAGGAAACTGCCATCCTTACCTGGTCTGGCCTACGTGTGACTCCAGACCCACAGCAATCTGGTTGACTCTTAACTGCCCTCTGGGTAATTAGGGATGGGCAATAAATGCTGCCTGGCCAGCGATGCCCTCATTCCGTGAATGAATAAAGAAATAAAAAAGAGAGGTTTGGAGGGATGGGGGCCAAGAGCAGGCAGGTGGGACAAGGGATTACGGTCAGCATGGACTGGTTGGGCAAAAGGGACTGTTTCTGAGCTGTACAACTCCAGAAGCACCTTTTAAAGACGAATAACTTTGTCTCCAAACAGTATATCGAGACATCGCCCACACCAATTGTCCCACTACAATTTCTAAGCTTGAGCAGGCCCTCCTGCTCCATTGAATATATTTGATATTATATATATATAGATATATATATATATATTTGATATATTTGAGGCTGATTTGGAGAGATTTTTGAGCGACAGGGGAATGTGGGAGTTTTGGAGGGTAAACAGAGACATTAATTCGAGGGTGAAACAGTTCAAGTGACGATTGTCCAAATAGGAGAGCAGGCTAGAGGAACCAAATGGCCTCCTTCTGCTGCTGTTTCTAATGTTCTGTCGTAGACCCCTGATTCCAAGTTTACCACCTGTGTCACCATTTTAAGTTCCAGGAACAGCATATGTCACATTTTTAAAAATATTTCCTCACGTCGTCTATGTGCCAAAAACACCAAAAGTGAGGGGAAAATATTTATACCGTGTGAGAGGAGTGTGCAAATTGGCTCGCAAGTGGATTCTCCGACAGGTAGAATTGCTGCCGTGGGGGATGAAGCGGTTAATGACGACTGGCAGTTAACTGCCAGGCTTTGTTTAAATTTTAAAATAGGTTGACTCTACTTAGGGCATTGGAATTAATCAGAGAAGGTACGTGAGAACTTTCTAGGCATGCTAAGGGTCTCTCAAACTCATAGACGAATATGACGCAGAGGACGTGACTGTATGTTGTTTGTGAAGTTACAATACCGAGCAAAATATCTTCAAAGCCAATGAAGAGCTTTCTCGGTGCATTGTGGTGCAGGGAGCCTTGCAGTTAGTTTGGGTACAGGAGTTCCCACATTCACACAACAGTGGTGTTGGCAGAGGAAGAGATGGTGACGGGGCTAGGGGGGAGCAGAGTCTGCCCTATCCTTGCTCTGTCCCAGTGGTGGCTGGATGATGGTTTGTCTGTCACTAGGGGTTTGGAAGGTGTCGACCTTGCGATGGAGCGGAGTAACTGTGACACCGGGGCACTCCTCAGGTCCATCTGCAGCCGTGGAATGCAACTACAGCAACTTTACGATTAAACTCGCTGCAGGTCTGTACTCGGGCGCTGTCATACCACAGAATACTGCAGGCATGGCATTCCAAAACATCGCTCCCTGTCCCTCCACAGTTGCTTCCCTAGCTGCTGTTTCCTCAGCACTTGGTACCATCTAAAAGACCTCCCTCTCATTTTCCTGGGCTTTTCGTTCACCGATGCCACTAAAACCTTTTGTGGTATGGTTGTGGAATCTTGCTGTGCACAGACTGCAGCGGGGATAAAACACCATTAGCTGCAGCCGCTCTGAGACTCCCTGGGGTGTTAAAAGGTGCTGTGTGAATGCGGATTGTGTATTTCAACGCCAATAGGCCCAGAATGAAATGGTAAATGCATATTGAGAAGGCTGTGTTTTTCCCACAATGTTACTGAACCCCATAAGGTTAATGGAACTGTTAGAAATGGATCCTTTTGTGTATTCCTCATGATGCCCGATGCCAGAAGTCTCATCCCTGACCTCCACCTCCTGTTCTGTGACACCAAACATCCCAAAACATTTGCTCTCAGTCTGATGTGTGGCTGTGCAATTCCTGCTTTTCCTCAGATTTCAGTTGGTGCAATGCAGAGAAACCTCCAGGAGAGGGCGGGCTTGTGAGCTTTGTGATACAGTGTAGAGGGTGCTTTACTCTGTATCTAACCCCATGCTGTCCCTATCCTGGGGTGTTTGATGGTGGACAGTGTAGAGGGAGCTTTACTCTGTATCTAACCCCGTGCTGTCCCTGTCCTGGGA